TACTTTTCATCAAAAAACTACTATTTTTCTCATTATATGAGTTTTTCTTCTTTAAAATGACGATTTTCTTACAGAGAAAAAATCCAACAATGCCTTAGAATCATAAAGAACACCATCTTTTCTGGCAATCCCTTATAAATCTCGTTTGCACCGATTTCGCCCTCTTTCGCTCATATTAATCAGCTGTTCTTTCAGGTCAATGTCTCTCACGCAATGTATCGATCCCTCTTACACGCAGCCATTTACCAGTGCGTTCCTGCTATTGCTGGTGCAAACGACAATGGCTGACCGAATGGTCGAATGGTTAACGTGGTGGCACTTCAAGTTAACGCACATAGGTCCGACCGCGCGCGAGGTAGCAGTTTTGCGGCTGTCTGCGTCATCAAAATTTAGTGTGCGAAATGATTGCGTGCTATGGTTACATAAAATTATTGAAACCTACAATCACTCCGCGAGCTGCCGGCGGAGTTGGCATCTTTCCGCGATGTGTGCCAACATGCCGGCATCTCTGATGCCACCAGGTAGGGCAGATTACTACCGGCCCTGTCTACATGGGGCGAACATGGCTAAGCGGTATGTAATGCATTCGAATGTGGGATTACGATAATTCCTTTGCTTTTTTTACATAGAATGACTTTCAGGCTTTTGCCTTCCTCGTGCAGGACCCTGCCTAACATTCCCGTTTTTTTTTGAACGACTGCCATAATTTGCTATTAAGGGACCGGTAAAAAAATCGAGGCCAATCCAAATAAGCTGCATACTATTAGATGCAGCATTGAACGCTGACGAATCTGTCATATCTGCTTAGCGCCTATGTTGATGAAGTCATGAGCCGTTAAAGGCCGTTATTTTGCCAAGAAATCGTGCGAAACGCGAATTTGGTGGTGGGCCATTTTGGCTTAATGCTGAGCCAAAACATGCAGCTAGGTTAGTTCATACTCTTAAAGCCCAATGATGAGCTAAAAGTGCAACAATGTGCTCAATTTCGCAATTTTTGTATACGATTCTTTCGGCACTGAAGCTGCTCATAACTTCGTCCACAAAGACGCTAGGCAAATATGAAACAAAGATTTGAATTTAGCGTTGAATGCTGCATCTAATAGCGGGCACGCTTTGGCCATTTCGACTTTTGACCATTTTTTTGCAAGTAAAGTTCTACAAAAGTCTTGGTAGCATTCGATGCATCTTTTCATTCTCTTTCTAGGGTGCTTACTCATTACAATGTATTTGGAGGGCTGCTAAAAATCCGTTTGATCTGAAGCCCATGCTTTTTGCCATGCTCAAGTTTCGTAATTCTTTGAATTTTTTGTACCCATTTTCGACCTGGAAAAGCTTTGAATCAGATAAATAGAGTAAACAAATTTTATTAGAAAGAATCTCTCGGGTACGGCTAAATTATGAGCAATTTTTGAAAGGATTTCTTTGGAAGTCTCTATTATTATGAAGTCGTAAAATACACAAACTGATCAAACACTGATAAACTAAATTTGAAACTTCCAAAATTGAAACTAAAACATTATCACTAATTTTGCCAAGCAACTAAGCGTTTACCGTTTCAAAATATCAAACTTCACATTCTCCGCGTACAGCCCGAAGCGCCCTCAAAATATGAGTTACGATAATTTTTTAACCGAAGTTCACATTCTGGCGAGGAAAATCAACTATCAGAGAGGAAAGAAAAAGCTGCTTCGAATGAGACCCAGTGCAAGTCGTGTGATGTCCTATCAAGTCCTGCATGATTGAATGTAGAATTTAATAACACCAAAAAATTATTTTGAACATTTTTTAATCCAAGTACGAACGCCAGTAATACCTTATACTGCACTAAATTTATTCAATACAGCTGTCATCGAAGCTCTTCATAAAGTTGAAAAGAGAATCTTGAAAATTAGCTGAAATAAGGGTAGGCAGAACCTAGTTGGAGTTTTGAAGATTATTATGAGCAGTAATCAACGGACTCAAAATAAAGGGGCACCGCATTAAGCAATGTTTAGAACATTTGTCTATCATCACTTTGAACTGGAGAATAATTCGAAAACGGCATAGACTTTCGGACACATTTTATAGAAGTACACCACTTTTAGTGTATGGGAGAGCATAAGAGGGTAGAAACTTACGTTCTAGAATTGCAAAAGTTGCCCATATCGAAGAAAATATTTGATTATCGAGATTAGATCAAGGTAGAGATTAGATTGGATTATCGTGGAAGATTGATAGACCTTTTAGTGCAAAACAAAGCTGAAAGGATTTTCACCTTTGTATGGCTCCACCCCTTATACTTCCTGAGCTTTGGCTGTCTTCATTGTCTTTCCGTCCCTGCCTTTCGCGTTTTTCGCTGCTTATGAGAGAAGTTGCTTGAAACTCTTACGCACAGGAAACTGCACAAATATGTAAGCTTTGGTAGAATAAACAAGAATTTGTTATACCAAATCCTAGAGATCCGAGGGAGAAGACCGCAAATATAAGGTTGGCTAATAAATAATCTCGATCGTTTTTAGCAGCTTGCAAAAGTGTAATCAAGCTAGAGAATTGAAAGAGTTTGAAACCGTTTTTGGTGAAAATTTGGGAACGGAAATTTTTGACAAAAATTATTTCAAGAATGAGGCCTAAGTGTTTCTGCATAGCTCAGTCGTGGAATTTTTGCTTGCTGTAGATGCAAGTCTAGTTCCATAGATCTTTATAAAGGGATCTTGATGGGTTAGTTGCGGAAACGGGGCGCTAACTCGCTTGAAGATTTTGGATTATTCACGGAAGAGAAGCAACCTCGCATCCGTTCGCATTGCATTCAAACTCTCGATGCGCATAGAGACGGCTTTGGCCAAGAAAATTGTTTCTTGAGGTTTTGACTGCGAGTGATCTCCCTAGGGTTAATCAAATCGTTATGCACAGTGAGAGTCCGCCGTGTGCAGAAGAGAAGACTTCAAACCAACTTACTCGAAAAATGATGCATTTCTGTGGGCAAAAAGTGGTCGACTATTCAGATTTTCTGGGAAAACCTTTTTGCAGGTGGTAGCTCACAGATTTAAATAGTTTCCATAACAGCCCCAGCGGAATATACTGCAGCATCTGAGCTCTCCAGCTCTCATCGGGCATGAGATAATCCTGCACAAATAGGCCACTTTTTACGTCGACTTTTTTCTTTTCTACGCACGCAGGTGGAGCGCAGCGAGATGCTGAAAGGCCAACAAATTTACAGAGTCGGTTTTTATTTATATATAGATTCTTAACTCGAGTTCATGCATTTGCAGTTTGCATATATTTCAACTGTGGTCACCGCGGAAGAACGCGAATCTTCAGTTCTCAAGATCTGAAGGCAGCTTCTGAAACTTTCAAAAAAAATTCCTTTACTTTCTTAAGTCTAATTGAGCGCTAAAAACGCCGGCTGAATTCCCACAGGACCAGGCACAAACAAACAAATTAACAAATTATTCAACAAATTATGTCTGGCCTTCCTTGCCCAATCTGTTCCTTTTTGGCAAAACTGGAAAAAAGCCTGCTCATGCAACCTCGAGTCATTTTGTTGAGACCTGATGGAGAGCTTGGAACGAAACTTTTCCGCAAGCATTGCGCGCATCGTGAAGAATTTTCAGAAGAGAATAAATGTTCGCACCAGAGGTAACCTTCAAAGTGACCTATACAATCTCAAGAAGAATTTTGTTTACATCAAATGAATGCAAGTGCTTGCAAAGACCGCGGTTCCATGCAAATTCATAAAGGGTTTTTAACACCATCTTCACTTTCTCATTATCGTTACCCTGTATGGTACGCGAAAATTGGAGCCGGGAGCTCGCCCGGAGAACTTCACATCAAGTTTCATGAATTACAGGGAATAGACTGTCCGAGCTCATTATGACGGCGACACATTCAGAAAAACCCGCAGTTTCAAGAGTCTTCTTCGCGAGTTCCGATGTTCCGACTTTTTAATCATCTCGGACTATTGTGGATCTAGGCAGCTAACAGCTTAAGTTTATAGCCCCAACCGGAAATTCACCAGTTTTCGAAAAATGCGAGTTCTTCAGTTCGCGTTCAAAATTCAAACGGTTTGTGTGCATTTATAGCATTATCAAGTTCTACATATCCCCAAAGTTTGGTCCACCACATGCAAAGAGACTAAAGTTGAAAGTTGCAAAACTTAGTTTCCCAACTAGTATTTTTGCCGAAATAAGATGCCGAAATAAAAAAAATGCCGTTCAAGTTCAAATAGAGCGTGGTTGTCAAGACGCTATATACTAGTCAAGCGTTCAGTGCTTTTTCCTTCAGCGTAGACTTGTGGTTGCTTCCAACCTGAACTTCGCAAATATGTAAGACAGAGTTGAAATCAGCATAATAATCCCCTCAAGATAGTGCACATGTGACAAAATTATAAGTTTTCTACTATGTACCCGATTATACAAAGCAGTGTCCATGAAACTTGAGTTGTAATTTCCTTATTTGCCCATTTTCACTCGTTGTGCTCATCTCGAAAATCTTGAGGGGAGCGCAAAAAACGGCTAAGGCAGGCTTCTTCGGAGTTCTTCACGCAGAACTGTTTGAAAATACGGGCATCCGCAAATTTGAGATGGAGGATTGCGTAAGGATTTTAGCGATTGCAACGTTTCTGCACACCTCAGCATTAAGATGATCCGCAGTGGGCCAGATTGGGCTGATAGGATTGTCTAATCTTCCAAAACGTTCCTCACGATGAAAATCAGGTTTGGCCCCGGGGATGGGCGTTATTCACACGGATTCTGGCATATCACAGTGACCCCCCCCCCACTCCTAATGAACTCAAAGCATATATTACAATGTACGCTATGAGTCCGGAAATGCCGCAGACTCAAATACTCAATTTTTTCAGCAGATGAGGGGGAGGCATATGGGCAAAAATGTTGAAAGTAAAATTAATATTTTTTCCACTGCCTACGCAACCCTCCGTAGCGCCCAAAAAACTTTGCTAATAGCAACACTTTTGCGTAATTTTTGCAATTTTTCACAAACAAATTCGAAATGTTTTACACACCACCTCTATATACACACCAGCTTATGCTTATCACATGCAAAATATCAAATTAAATAACAATATCAACAATGTCAGTGGCAAAAATAAGGAGGCAAAGAGCTGTACTACTTGACCTTGGCTAGTACATGGATCAAGTCAGGTGCACGTTGGCCGATTTCGATTAGGCTACCCTAAAGAGGAAATTTCATCGATAAAATTCTAATCGTAAGACAAGTTGTAATTCTTCTTCAAAAGCCTACATTATACAGTCGAGATTCCTTTCCGACAACGGATTTCAGTGCCAATGAAAGTAAAGATGCTTGAACGCCTCCGTTACAACCTGTCACTATTGGTAGGTTGCCATCAAAGCCGGCATCTTCGAGAGCTGGACGAGATGAGTTTATTGTAAAGAGAACGGGGAAAGCGAAACTAATTTTTACCCTCTACAATTTGTTCCTTGGACTTCAATCCATTCTCAGTGACAACCTCATCTAATGGTACGTTTTTAGAACCTTGCAAATGAGATCCAGGGCCTCCTGAATTAATAGGCCAGACGGTTTTGACGCCTACTGAAGCAAAAAATTTCTTTAGCCATTTTAAAAACAAAGAAAAAACATCTTCAAATCTGTTGGACAATAACAGGTAGTTGTGACAGATGGCCAAAATTATCGCACCATAAAATGATGCTGCTGGTCTCGCGTCCAGATAGTTGATCTGCAAAGAGCAAAAGTAGGGAAGAATTTCGCTCAGGCTAAAGTGGATTTCTATGGGTAAAATGAAAGGTACTAGTAAGCTGCTCGAGCTGCAGCACTTAATCACGGTTAACTACAGTATAAGCCCAATCAAGCAGATAAGCCTCAGCATTTTCAGGCAAGCAGATATAAAGCAAGGATTGGACCTTTGGACTAATCTATTCCTTGCCATTAATAGCATACCTTTGACAAATCTTCAAACAAAGACTTTCCGCCGGCTTTCTTCTCGTTCAATTCCTCAAACGTAATAAGCTGAGAGTTGTCAATTGGCTTTGCTGTCCAATTACCACGCTAAAATTGTTACGACTGATTGAGTGAATTGAGCTTTCGTTTTTAAATTAGTTATTTGTCAGTTCAGCAAAGCAAGTAAATAGCTTCTTAACTCTTCCCGACGTCAAACCTTGAGCTTATGTGAACACGAAAAGTAAGGGAAGAAACTGCGCGATTTTACGCCAGTCCAATCACCGCAGTGTCCTTCTCACGAAATTCCTCCCTTGTAGGCATGACACCTCCTACCAGCGGTCCCAGAATTTCCGTCCGGGGGGGGGGGGGGCAAATTTTTTTTCAAATAAAGGTACGTGGCGTTAGCCACGCACTTCGAAAAATTTTTGGGATAAATCTTTGCTCCCAAAAAAATATTCGGAGTGCGTGGCTGACGCCCCGCACCTTCATTTGAAAAAAAATTTTGCCCCCCCCCCTCCCTGAACGGTCCTGAGGCCGCCAGTGCCTCCTACCTATGACCGTCAAACAGTTATAGTTATATGAGCATCAATAACATGTTCCTACGATATATCGAAATGTATAGTTGTCTGCATAATAACGGTAGTTAGGTTCTTTTTATGCATATAGTGCAGCCGGTAACAAAAACAAACAAATCTGGTTTACGACATGCAAAAGTGAAAACTCATTATTGTGTAACAGCGAGTGCCAATCTTACAGAGAACAGGTCTTTGCAAAAATTGAATCAATCAGTGTAATGCCATATTTCTGACAATTAAATTCTGTTGTTATATGAGAAAAAGCTTATTTGACATTTTATAAAGTCTTGCATTCTAAAGCGGGAAGGTAAAGATATTATTTACTTTCTTAGGTAAGGTAAAATCAGATACTTTTTCATGTATTCGTTTATCCACCGCCCCGCAGTATATAGAGTTTTTTCAGTCAATTCATTGACTTCACCTTTTATATAACAACATACTTTAGCATCTGCAACTTCACTGGTCACTTCTTTTCCAGCTCTTTTCCACGCCTCAATCCCGCCGTTTAGAACGGAGACCTTATTATGACCGTACACCTGCAAAAACAAAAGGTTTTTAAAGTAAAGCATGAGTAGATCTAGGGCGAGAAACTACAAAACCTTGAAAGTCCACCAAGCTCGTGCAGCCCACATCATCCCACCAAAGTTACCTCTTGAGTAAATTATAACGTGGTCCCCTTTATCTACGCCCAACAAACGCACATATTTCTCGAACTCCTCTGGTGGGTAAAGGTCGAAACGAATATATCTAAACTTGTTATAAACGAAAGCGACAGCAGTGCGAAAGCACTCAGATAACCACTCACTGGCTGGGGTAATAAGCTGCATCACAATTGAACAGCGTTGCTCCCGGAATATGTTCCTTCGCATAGGTCTCCGCAAAGCTGGTCTAAAAGATTGTTTAAGCACTTTATTTGTTACTAGCTTGCTTACCCGGCTCCGCTCGGCCCTGTCAAAGCACTGTAATAAAGGTCCCATCCCTATCCCTGTACAGCCTTTCAGTATGCCCACTTCTACAATTCCTGTTCCATGTGTTGTTTTCGAAATCAGCATGCCCACTTACCCCCCTGTGCCAACTCCCAGAGCCCTGTAGCTCAAACTTTGCAAAAAATCGATAAAATCGATAATCGCCATGCCCACTTACCCCCCTGTGCCGACTCCCAGCCCTGTAGCTCAAACTTTGCAAAAAATCGATAAAGTCGATAAAGGTAATAGATAACGCCAAAAACTAATACTGTGTTCGTAATCAGCATGCTCGGATACCCCCCTCCTATGCCAACTCCCAGCCCCGTAAGTGAATTTTGCAAAAAGATCGATGAAAATGATAAAATCGATATCGATCGATAACGAAAAGTAGCCTATGACACGCTCCCTGCCCCGAAGTATATGTGTGCCAAGTTTGGTCCAGATCGGTTCAGAAATAAAAATTTCTATTCCGCACATACGTACAGATAGACATACAGACATACAGACAAACACACTTTCAGCTTTATATATGATTTGCTCAGTAGCGCCAAATATCTTGCTTTATATGAGCTGGAAGTTGCGCTATTCTCCAAAAGGATCATGGTCTTTAGAATTAGTAAACTCCTAAGTTTGTTTAAAAACTTTTAAAAACATGCCAAATTTTTGAAAAATATATAAATTTCAAAGAAACTAGTCGTTACCGAGCCCATTTTCTCCCCGAAAAACTTTTTTTCTTTGCTCATCCGGAAAAGTTTTTGGGACCGTCAATGCCAGATATGATGAAAAGATCGCATATCAAGGTCTTGCATATAGTAGATGGGTACCAAACCTACATATTGGAACATATTGAGTTGTTGAAAAAGTGAAGAGAGAAGAGGAAGAAAAGAAGTATGAGTAATGAATAAGACTGCACTGACTCCTAAAGGTTTGAGTGACTTCAATTTAGCTCGAGACAAACACACTGCTTTAGAATTCGAATCCAGGCATTGTCAAGCCGTTTCGGTGAGCCCAGCAAAATGTAACTTTGCTCCAACTTTCGCCCTTCCTTTCGCAAATTAATCGTTACAATGTTTGTTACAGGATTCGATCAGAGCGTGCCGATTTCGTTGCATATAACTCAGTTCCTATTTTCAATGATGTTGCAGACATCTCAAGAAGCATCCCTACCTGCCAACAGTGTTTCACACTATCTCTACCCACGACTACTCTAATGCGATTAAAGACAACGCCTCATTATCTATACATATATAATACTGAGTGTTTTCAAATTGTTAGTTAGCATATTCTTTATAAAAACTTTTGTGTGTAAGTCGATCACTGTCAAATTTTGCACATATGTTTTTGACACCGGTCCAACCTCTAGGCTACTTTTCGCAGCGAAATATCCACCCCTCCTCTTGATTTATCGACTTTAAAGGAAGATGAACTCTTATCATTTATTATCAAACCCCTTCCAGATTTTGTTTGAAGAAAAGCGGTATCATTATCATTCCACGATGAAGCAGATGAGGTAATTCAAGGCGATGCATAGGAATTATCTGCCCTGTGCTACATGAATAAAAGAAGAAGGACGTAATGCAGGTAAGTCTAGCCTTCAAAGTTGCTCTTTGTTGAGTTAGTTAAATACGGACAAAAACGGGCGAAGCCGGGCAAGTCAACTAGTTCCCTCACAAAATTATCATCGGCATAGATTTACTGTCAACTACACGAAAAAGAAGAATAGTGCTCTGCAATGAGTCGCTTCTCTTCGTATCCCCCTAATCGCTATCAACCGCAGAATGGTAATTCGGTAGATATGAAGGGACAACAAAGCGATGATATTGCAAAATTCTGCAGCTAAGTTCTCATTTTCTGAAAGCTTAGGTTTTTGGCATAGGAATCTGTAAAAAGACTTTCACTTTTTTGCACAATTATAAGCATTCAAACGAGTTTCTTTCAAAGATAAAGAGATTGTTGGTCATTCTTATTTTTTATAAGATTCCGAAAGTTTTGATTTTCACCTCAGCCATTACACATTGCTAACGCGACGACTTTTTTTTAACAGAACTTTTTTCCTCAGTGAGTTAGTTGTCAACTCTGTAAGAACTTTTTGGGCTGGACCAGACTACCAGGCTTCGTCTAAACGTGACGTATGCAGCCTACGCACAGTGCATAAGGATATGGAGCGTAGGCAATATACGCATCGAGTAAGTAGTATATGCGGCTACCCTTATATGCAGTCCTCAGCTCCGCAACGCACCACCTGAGTATATGAAGTAGGGAGTCCGGCCGCGAATACAATTTTGCCAATAACGCCAAATGGCAACTTTTTAGAGCGACTCACCATGCGGAGCCGCGATAATGGGTCATATCCCTTTGGATGTAAACACCACTGTGTTAAAATGCGCTTTGTACACATTTTCCAAACATCAAGAATTACGTAAAACTCAAACCTTGAGATTCATTAAGTCATCGAATTTCCCGTAGTACTTCTCTTTGAACTCTTTGTAATCGGGTTTGACTTTCATATCATAAGTCGCATCCAGTATGACCACATGATCCTAAATGTCGCACACTAACTGGACGAACGCAAAAATTCTCCAAAGGATAATTAAAGTATATAGCGAGGACAAATAGCGTTACAGAGAGAAAAGGAGTGGAGATTCGACATGAAGCTAAAATACTAGAAAATTTTTTATTAGGTTGGGTAATTTCTGTTACACCTTTTTTTATTTTTCAAAAATCTAAGAAATTTTTGGAAATTTTTACGTTTCAGGAGTGCTGAAGGGGTGCAAAGGTCTACCCATCGGTACTGTCAAGTCTGTGTTCGGTCGCAAATCACAGCTACATGACGCGCCATGTCAGCGCACATCGACATTCAACCATAAAGAACAATTTTTATAAATTTACAAAAATTGTTTTCATTTTCCCCTTATCAAATTGTACACGATGCATGCAAAAAGAAAATTTCTCGGCCATTTTTCAAATTTTCGTCAAGTACTACCAGAAAAAAGTCCAATGCGAAAATATGTTTCAAAAAATTATACGAGAGAAAAAACACAATTGAATGCAGAGAAAAATAAAAGAAAAAATCTTAAGTCTAAATTTTAAGTGTAAGTGTAAGAACAGTTTTGAGTGTCTGTACAAAGTTGTCGTGAACTTGTTAACTATTTGTACATTTGGATCATCGGCCATGCTGTTGTATACGCCCCGTTGTGCCCTACATATGAAGCAATTTTAAAGATTTTGGAAACTCTCGTAATTTATTTAGAACTTTACAAAGAAAGTGTAACAGAACTTATCCGCCAACCTGATACAAATAAAACGAAAGTATAACGTACTTTGTTATCGTCCAGCCAATCAACGCTCACCACATCTTCCGTGGCCGTGCTGAAATCAAGCACCATAAGGAAGCTACGCAAGTACAATCACTTCATATCATCATGTGTGTCAAACACTATTCACCTTTGGCTATTTCATTGGAGCAGACATCCAAATCATGTATAGGCTTCTGCATGACGAGGGCGCATATTTTTGGGCGTAAACGCGGCTTTATTAGGGGAGATTCGCGACAGCCAGGATAAGCGCGCGCTGCATTTAACTGATACTGCTTCTGCACCTTCTTCAAGCAGCCTTTAGGGGTTTCTGAGGTAATCTTTATGTTTTCTTTCCTTTTCAGATATCGAGGTGATGTAAGTGATAAGTATAGGGCATTGAAAAATCGTGACAATGGTGCGTCCACGCACTTTCTATGCTTATATATGATAGTATATTCAGACATTGGAAGTGAATGAGCTGAGCGCTGAAGTGATACCGCTTTGTATGGGTGTTCTATGCTCGTGTCTGCGCAAAGACCGCAATCAATCTGTACCCTTCGCGCGTGATTGCAAATCCAGTGAAGACGCCAAAGATGGATGGTGTGTATTAGTGCACACATGACTCGGCTACAAGAAATTATTTGATGTGCATTCGTATTTTTTCTGGGAATTTCATGTGCTACAGTAAACTAGGTATTACTATTGTCATTTGTCTTCGAAGCATACAAAACCTATTGTAAATCCTTCACGAAAGATAGTAATAAATGTTTGCGTCACTCAAGAATGCAAGCAACGCAAGATGAAGAAACACGATAAGAAAACAAATGACTTCCTCAAATCTTTGAATGGATGAGATCAACACAAACGATTGAAGGACAATAAGGAAAATCCATAAAGTTCGATAACTATTCTTTCTTAAAATATTCTTCGAGCAAAAGTTTTTGAGATTGCGAAATTGAGCTTCACAAAATGATGAGTAATACCGCAACAGCAGGCACACAACAAATGTAGCATCAACGCATGGTACAATCACACAACTTTTATAAAAGCTTTTATAAACTGTTACAAACGGCTAACAGAACTAAAATGAAAAATCAATGAGTTCTTTGTTGCTGTTGTTTTTTGAGCATACAGTCAATTGATAAACAATTGCCAAAATTTTATTGCATGATTGAAGTAGTTATCAGTTTATATGTAAGTCATGTGCACTTTGTGCACTCAAGAATGCCACCTCACGTAGTATACCTATTGCCTATTTATTCCTTCGAATGTAAGCTTTGAGCGCTCGGCAGCATCGTGGATGTAGTCATAAAGCTAGGTTTATCAGTTTGCATCAGTATTCTATACTTTAAATGACACTATAATTCAGTTCACAGACTTCATCTCTTTTTGAGCCACTGTGCTCTTTAGATGATTTATTATGTGGAGCTATCACGCAGTTTGCTTGAGATCATATCACCATCGCCATACGTGTCACTTCAAAAATGAATCAAAAGTCCCAGGAGTAAAAAAGAGTTGAAATCATAACTCCAGATCAACACGAAATCAATAATATTCTTTCTAGCTTTTTTGAGCGAACACAGCGCAAAATGCTGACGTTTCCAGATGTAAACAGCATAGTTCCGCTAGTCATACTATTTACCTCAAAGTTTCGCACATACCATACTTCCGAAATGACAAATGATTGACAAATGGCAAAATATGAAAAGCGAGATTTACAGAAGAGTGAGCAAACTGTAGGATACATTGTTTATTATATTTACACACCACTACATACAAACTCAATCAACATAAGCCAAAGAAGTAGAGACTTACGATTTCTTCTTGCCGCAAGTATTGCCCATATTGATCAGGAGTAATCAAAAAACAAGAAACTAAACGAACGCAAGGAACGGTGGACAATTATCGGGAACAGTGTTTGACGAATTATCAGTGCATGCAAAACACGGCCGAAGGGCGGCCGGCCCTTTACAATACTTTACCTAGCTCCGCCTCTTTCTTGATTTGTCTAGGTTCCCCTCTTTTATGACCTAATAGTCATTTTTTTCTCTCTCTTTACAGCTTAAAACTTCCTCCACGCGCTACACTGGCGACAAATTTTATCAAATGCAAGATGTTCCATTGCAAAAACTGCAATACCACTACTGCTGCATACTGGAAACTCACAAATTGTACTGTAGCCGTTAAGGCAAGTAATTCAACAATCCATGAATCATAGGACATATGTTCGATGAATAGATAGCGTCACAATGCTGCACAACTATAACAATCACGAAAACCGCAAAAGACTACAAATTGCGCAGCCAAGGCCGTGAAAAATTCGCAGTTCCTTATGACAGTAAAGAAGAATCATCCTGCCTGTCTCCTACTTAGATATAGTTTCATAGAAATTCTGTTCTCCAATGACAGAAAACGCGGAGCGAGGTCTCTCACATCCGGTTTTGAAACGGCGCTAACAAAAAAGTTGCTGCGCGGAGCGAAGTTGCTGAGCAGAGACAGCTTGAATTATTCTTTGTTTGATAAAAGGGAAACTGGATATTGTCGGACCTTAGGTGTTGGTATAGTGCGCCTACCTAAAATTACAAAGGAGGCAGGAACGAGAAAAGGAAGGGGAATCATGCATTTAGATTTGTATCTCTTCCATCTGGTTTTGTTGTTAGATCAAAGTTCATGGATTCAGTACTCTCAATTCAAAATTCATACAATAAAGTTTGGATTTGATGGGGACTGCTGATGTTTGATCAATGCTTAGCCATCTGCAAAACAGAAGTAGCAATGAACACAAACGCATGCATGAACTCAGCTTCAGGAAACACAGCATAGCCTGTTCCAATAAGACCATATAAGGAAAATGACCATCATACAGCATTGTTGAGCTATTGTTGTTCTTGTTTTTATTTGCGTTCTTATTAGGGAAGGGATAAATTGAAATTTGATCCAGTGAGCTAGTATTAAAAATTTAGCTGAAATGCGTATTTTGAAAGCAAGTAATAAAATTTCTCGCTGGCAAATCTTCGATACTCAAAATGTTACGGCGTGTGCTTGACATCTAGAAGCAACTTTGTTCTCTTTTGCGGCAAGTTGTTCTTTTTGCTAATTTTCAAATAGCTTTTCAGTCATCACTATTTTTACCTGATGCTTTCTGTGGCGACATTATCAAGCTTGTCGTATCATACAACTCAAGCCTAATATTTACTCCATACCACCTGTACATACACCAAGTTTTTTTATCACATGAGAAGCATTCGAATGAATAACAACATCATCAACAACGTTAACATCGGAAATGATTGAAGTACTGAACTACTTGCCACTGATCAGTTCTGGTGCACGTGCACTAACCTCGTATAGACTGCCCTAAAGAAGCTTCCTCAGTCGAAAATAATCATTAGTTATCGTCAAAAATTCCCACATTGAACAACCGCGCTTGCTTTCCTGCGTATCTTACTGCCAGTGTCAGTAACGACGCTTGAACGCCTCCATTACAACCTGTCACTATTGGTAGACTGTCGTCATACCCAGCTTCTTCTAAGGCTAAACAGTTAATTGCATGAGAGGAGTTGAATAAAGAAGTAAAATAATATTCACCTTGTTGAATTACTTGCTTGGACTTCAATCCATCATTAGTGGCAACCTCGTCTAGTGGCACGTTCTTGGCGCCTCGTAGATGAGATCCAGGTCCTCCTAAATTTGACGAATCCGCACAGAATGAGCTTCTTTTTCAATTATTTTCAAACTTGAGAGTTGGCAGATTTGGAAGTTGATTACGGTTTTGGTGGAGAAGCAAGGTTTTAGCGTTGCTGTAGAGCTCGCAACGGAGCTCTCAATTTGATTCATTCACGGACTTGACTGAGCGCACGCAAATCTGCTAGCGAACTATTAGGTTGGTAAGAAAGTTCTCGGACATTTTCAGAAAAGATCTGCTATTTCTCGAAACCTAACGCACATGCATCAGGTAGAGGTGCCATTCGATAGAGCAAAGTAAGCTCTACAAGATAGTATGCAAAAGTTCGCACCAGCTTCGACCCACCGTAAGTTTGCACCCGAAATCTGAGTCGTACCGAAATTCAAAAAATCGCGAAAAATTCATATCTTTGTTCAAACAAATCCTACGGATCTCCAACTTGCTCACAAAAATTGCACACCACATCATACTCTCATACGCACCGTTCCTGTAATTTTTCCTCATCTGGAAATCGGGAAAACGAAAATTTTCATGCTCGTATAAAAACGAAGCTGTGCTGTTTCCACCGACGTAATTAAATAGTACAAGCCCTTAGAAGTATAACCGCAAATTTTTAGCTTTCCGTAAGCCCTAGTTGTCGACAAACATTGATTTTAGCATGGAACGCCCTAGTGAGGAGCGCTCAATTCGGTAATTTTCGGGAACTAGGGCCTGTAAAAAGCTGAAAATTTACGGTTGTACTTCTAAGGGCACGTACTATTCAATTATGTCGATGGAAACAGCACAGCTTCGTTTTTGTACAAGCATGAAAATTTTCGTTTTCCCGATTTCCAGATAAGGAAAAATTACAGGAACGGTGCGTATGAGAGTATGATGTGGTGTGCAATTTTTGTGAGCAAGTTGGAGATCCGTAGGATTTGTTTGAACAAAGATATGAATTTTTCGCGATTTTTTGAATTTCGGTACGACTCAGATTTCGGGTGCAAACTTACGGTGGGTCGAAGCTGGTGCGAACTTTTGCATACTATCTTGTAGAGCTTACTTTGCTCTATCGAATGGCACCTCTACCTGATGCATGTGCGTTAGGTTTCGAGAAATAGCAGATCTTTTCTGAAAATGTCCGAGAACTTTGTTACCAACCTAATACCAAACTCTTTGGTTTTACACTAGTTACATGTGTTGTATGTTACCAAATTATTTTTTACATTAGCGTGGCAACAATGATTAGAACTCTACGACTCTGAGAAGCCCGATCCTGTTTCCAGGGTTCAAGGTGCCAACTTGGGTCGAGAAGTGTTCACTCTACGTTTTCTATGATCTACTAGTTGCAAACTTTGAAAAAGTCGTTAACTTATTTGTATAAAAAGTGTATGTAAAAAGTACTTGGATTGCCGACAACGCTTGTAAAATTCCTTTTACAACAATCATTTTCGCAGTCGTCAGCTAACGATACTATTAAAAAGCCTACCTGTGAATTGCATTGCTGGCCTAGCGTCTAGGTAGTTGATCTGAAAATAGTAAAAGTAGGCTGCGAACGCATTTGACAAATGGGCAGGTAGAAAAATTCAAATGATTTTAGTTCTCCTTTATCAGAAGGTGATTGTTCGAGATCCTCTGCGAACGTTGACTCAGCTACTACCAGGCCTCGAATGATCTACTCAACCCCAGGTAAAAGAATTATAAGATACGCTAGGAGCGGACGATCGGAGGAGGGTGTGGGGAAAGCACGATGGAGGGCAAGGATTCCTTCAGACTACGCCGCAGCACGGCAGCCTGCCGCCAGGAAGCACACCGTGTCCTGCGGCGTGCGCCGCTGCAGTCGCAGTATAAATGTAAGCTCGTTCGACATGAAGGGAAACTCTCGGAGAACACGAGCAGCAAATATAAATATACATTTAACCGGCGATGCTGTGCTCCGTGAACGTACATTTTCACTGCGATTGCAGCGGCGCAGGCCGCAAGACGCGGCAGGCTGCTGCGTCCTGCGCCGTAGCATGAAGGAACCCTAAGGCTAGGTTTATACTAATCCGTGAATTCTGGAACAATTTTAGCACAGCGCACAATTCGAGCGCTGTGCCGGAACTGTTCCCAAACTTACGGATCAGTATGACCCAGCTTAACGTAGGCAAAAATGATTTCGTAATCTTCGATGTTGCAACTTAGCCAAAATGCGTTGAAAAAGTCAGGAAGGCATGCAGGAGGTATCGTATTTACTAACTGCGAAAATTGAAGAGGAAGCAGCGAAGAAGTAAGTGATGAATTTGTGCAAACTCAAGCGTTTGGAAAGTTGACGAAAAAGGTCAAAAACGACGCAACTTATCTCCAAAGACAACATGGTATTCAGAATTTCTGCTCTATTTTCCCAAGCCTCATTTCTTCAGCTCCCAAATTGTTATATTTTTATTGTGGAAATTCATTTGTCTCATAAGAAAAGGATAAAAACTCGCACTAGCAATGTGTTGAGCATATCAAAGGAGTGCTTTAAGACACTAGTTTCATGTATTTCTTCTCCGCGAAACGATTTTTTAGAAGTTATGAGCGCTTGAAAGTCCAAAAAAGTAACTTTAAACGAAAAAAAAATTGGCTTTTCAGTGGATATGGTCTTTTTAATGTACTCAGCACACTCAACATCATTTTTGATTTCGCGACTTCACCCTCGATGATCAATCAAAAAAACACAAGTTTACAAAGTGTACCAAATTTACCAACGCGTGTTTCTTGGGTACCGAAAGGATAGGGGAGGGGCTCAACGACGACAAATCAAGCATGCATTTTTCAGCAGCCAAGTTGATTTTGATAAAAAAAAAGCTGAATTTTTGAATAATGCCCAAGCAGTAGCATCTACAAAAACGATTTAATTTTGTTCAGTTGCAAAGCAAATTATGAAGGTATGGAAATTCCTTTCTTGCTCTTTTCAAAACCACTAGTGGCTGTTTTTTGTGACTCGCTTTCCTATACAAGGTCCTTTCAGTATTTTCTTCTGTAGGGATGATTAGAGCATTTGAATTAAATTTGGGGTTGTCCCTTTCACTAATTTTCTTGGGACTGCCGAAAGCAAAAATGAAAAGACTATCTTTAACATTAAAGGCAGTGGCTCGGCAAATTTTAACATAGTCAAATTTTCGCTTACCTGGGAGTATTCAATACGCTGATTCCGAAAATGCACTTTTAAGAGCTTGAAAATGCCGACGAGCGTTTTCCAGTGCCCTTCCCTTTGGAATTGGACGAGTGCTGCAAGGCTGATGACGCCGAATCGTTGCAGGACCCAACGGTTATAGCATTGCGGCGGGCAGCCTCCGATGATGAGAAGGAAATTGCCAACTCGTCCAGTCGTCCAGACGCATGTAATAATAGCCTGCGCGTGTAAGTTTGAGGGCAACTCGGCAAGGAAGGCATGCTGTGCAACCGGGATCGCACTGTTTTCATACTTGGGCAATAGGGAGTCTACCATGTTAAAATTTTGAGTTGTTGAGTTTTGCCGGGCCACTGCCTTTAAGTCGGTAGTCCTGCGACAACGTTCCTTTTCTGATGGCTCTCCATGGCGTAAGATATTTTTCAAAGTAGCATTCTTTTAGTAATGGTCGTTATTATTTTGAATGGAGTTACAATTTCCTTGCCGGTCTATCAGCAAGATTTCCTTTACGCCAACATTTTCACTTCCAACACTAATGGTTAGGATAAGCTACTGCTACTCTCTTCCTGACAGAATTCCGGTAAATGCGAAGTCTGAGTAATGAGGATAAAAGGTGTATGAGGACAAAATAAACCTGATTAGCGGGAGGACTTCACTGATATGATGACTGGAAGTCGCTAGGAAGATGAAGAGTTCAGAAAGCTATTAACATACCTTTGACAGGTCTTCAAAAAGCGACTTTCTCCCAGGCCTTTTCTCGTCTAACTCCTCGAATGTGATGACTTGAGAGTGGTCAATCGGCTTTGCTGACCAACTGCCAAGCTCAAATAAATGTTAAGCTAATATAAACAAAATGGAAACTTCATTTGAGTGATAGACAATAAGTTGTATAACCTAATTGAGATTGTTTCTGGAAACAGCGTGATATGCTCCGCGATATTTAATGCAGTTGTCTGCATGGGTCCTCCCCTTTTAGTATACATTACTTTCTACCCGACTAAAGACCGTTAATGTTGTGATCTTTGTTTACAGCCTCACTGTTGAAGGTCCGGAAGAAAAAGGTATTTCACTAAAAAAGATCTAGCAATAAGCATTTGGAACTTACTCCAAGATGTGTTAGCTATGTATTCTCTAGTACAGTGTCTTCTCATATATAATTTATTATTATCAGTATTCTATTACTCTCTAGTGCAGTGTCTTCTCGTATATAATTTGACAATTGTAGATTCTCTTCCTTTGATATTTGTAAAAGAAAAGTAACATACCTTTCTTTGCACAACATCGCTTGACACTTCTTTTCCAGCTTTTTTCCAGGCATCAAATCCACCGTTAAGAACGGAGACTTTGTCATGACCGTACACCTGCAAGGCTTTTCTGAAGCTGAGTATGAAGAGTGCGCAAAAGTAAGAATCTTTATGCCTTGAAAGTCCACCAAGCTCGTGCAGCCCAAATCATTCCACCATAAGCACCTCGTGAATAAATTACGATGTGATCACCGGCATTTATACCAAGCAAGCGCACATATTTCTCGAATTCCTCCGGTGGATAGAGATCGAAGCGTATATATCTGAAAACTTATTATAATGATAGAAACACAAAGTGACCTCGTAACCATTGAGATACTTACTCGCTAGGGTAAAAGGCTACATCTATGTTGAAATGGATTGCTTCTGGAATGTGTTCCTTAGCATACGTCTCACCAAAACCGGTCTAAAAACGAGGGTATTGGATCATTCCTTCCGAGTATTTGCATTTCATTCCTTGTATGATTCTTTGAACTTTTGAGTAGAAAATCAAAATTTGCACCAGACAGCCTGAATTTTTTGGGAAAATAATGGTGGAAATGGCCGAGAAGAGCGATTTTCCCTGCTGTCAACGGTTCTCAAATTATTTTACTGTTATGAAGAGAGAGATAGGAGGGAGGATCAAAAAAGGAGGGGGTGAAGGATTGAAGTGAAGTTGCCTTCTTCTTGAAGCCTTGGCCAGGCCCAAGCACAATAGTTGAGAAAGCGATTTTTTCCAATCTATCTTACTCTTCACAAGTTAAGGACATCGTTTTAAGATGATACATAGAAAGAACAATCTACTTGCGTCTTCCCGTTTCTTAAATGATTTGAAAATAGAAAATCAAACCTTGACGTTCATCAAGTCCTCAAATTGCCCGTAGTACTTTTCTCTGAACTCTTTATAATCGGGTTTGCCTTTCATTTCATAAGTCGCATCCAATATTACGACATGATCCTGAAACAATATAGTGGAATGCAAAACTTTCAAAAATCAACTGAAGGCATTAATCTTATATATAAAGCTGAATGTCTGTTTGTATGTCTGTCTGTCTGTCTGTCTGTCTGTATGTCTGTCTGTGTGTACGTATGTTCCGAATAGAAAATTCCATTTCTGAACCGATCCGGACCAAACTTGGCACACATACACTTCGGGCCCCGGCGGGTGTCATAGGCTACTTTTCGTCATCGATCGACATCGATTTTATCGATTTTTTGCAAAATTTGAGCTACGGGGCTGGGAGTTGGCACAGGGGGGTAAGTGAGCATAGGGATTCCGAATACAATATTAGTTTCTAAAATCGTGCATTACTTTCATCGATTTTATCGATTTTTTGCAAAGTTTGAGCTACGGGGCTGGGATTTGGCACAGGGAGTTAATCGAGCATGCTGATCACCCCCGTGGGAGTGATCAGCATGCTCGATTACACCCCCTGCCAAATTCCAGCCCCCTAGCTCAAATTTTGCAAAAAAATCGATAAAATCGATAAAAGTAATGCACGGTTTCGAAAACTAATATTGTATTCGTAATCAGCATGCTCGATTACCCCCCTGTGCCAAATCCCAGCCCCCTAGCTCAAATTTTGCAAAATCGGCATCAATCGTTAACGAAAAGTGGACTGTGACACCCGCCGGGGCCCGAAGTGTATGTGTGCCAAGTTTGGTTCGGATCGGTTCAGAAATGGAATTTTCTATTCGGAACATACGGCGGAGCCGGGTATGCCAGCTAGTGCTAGATAATTCGGCCAGAAAATTTGAGCAACTCGACGGAGTGACATGGGATAATAAACATCAAAGTAGCAAATTGAGCTTACTTTGTTTTTATCCAGCCAGTCGACAGTCACCACATCTTCTGCTGCCATGCTGAAATGGGAAACCTCTAATCCGCTACGCGAGTAAATGGAGGTTAAAGGAGAAAATGAACAAGATGAGGTTAGCGCATGTTTAGTGTGCAATCCAATTTATTCTAAAAATATATGCGTGATTCTATCTGGAACAAGGTAAATCATCACGCTTTAATAGCCTTCGAAAAAAAAACTTCTGCATTGTAAGCCTGGTGAGAAATTGGGTGAAAATAAATTGTAAGCGCCACCCAGAATTGCAAAAAAAGATCTGAAATTCAGAAACAATCGCATCAGTCACGTGATAAATTTTAAGAAGTGAGGAGAGGCGAGAAGGCAAGTACAAGTGAATGATGTCAGAGCATTGGTACAGAAGACAACTCGTTTTTGAAGGAGTAATTTAACAGAAGGTTATTAAGTATAGCAACTGAAATACAAGTGCCCTGACACAGCGAAATTTGTTTTACTGGATTACCCACATTCAATATTAATGTTCGAATAGGCAAAGATAAAACAGCAAGTCCTGCGCGTCTTTTTGTATATCCAGATTTTTCATTGAGCTGTAATCAAATCTCCTGGTTACAATGCACACATGACGATATGGCTAAGAATTTGGAGTGTAAACGGACATTGACTGGGAAGAGCATAGTGCAAAGTGTTGTGGAAAAATTATGTGGCTGAAGGCATGTGGCAAGCTTCACAAACTGATGCAATGGCTCGCTTGCAACGCACAGATGACGATATGGTATGATGATTTGTGTACTTACGCGCAGCTGGACTAAGGAACAAAGTATGAAAGATTATGAAAAGCTGGTGTGAAATAAACCATGCTTGAATTTCATTCCAAATAAAGTGGCAGTGGTCCAGCTAATGCCCCCTGAGGTAGGCAAAACTTCCAATTCATATGACTTTAAAAATTTTTGCATCCAGTGTTTAGTATCTAGTAACTTGGTTTTAAAACTCCTCCTCTTTGTCAGGATCCGCAATAGCAACGACGCCGGTCCTTTTGAGGAAGAAAGCGCGTTCCAATCGAACAACCTATGCAGCTGGCGGGATGAAGTGGAAAATCGTGAGAATTGATAGTGGCGAAGGCGAATTCGTCTCACCGATGTCCATGTGTCACCCTCGTGCTGGGCCTTGGTGACTGCGTTTGTTATGATATGTGGCTTAATGTTCATTACCGGAGAGTATTTCAACAAAATTTGGAAGACCTTAAAAATAGCAGGAAAAGCTTGTATGAGTTTACATTACTGCATTAAAAACTCTTAGAAAATTGCTGCGATAAAGACAAAGCAATACAAGTCGGACAGAACTCTCGAGATAATACGCGGAGGATCACAAAAATTGTGCACACTGTTTGAACTTTAATTTCTTTCTAGCACTGAAGTCTTTCGCCTCTTGCAAGCTGTAATCTTCAAAGTTGGTTTCTTAAATTTTCTCTTTTCAATAAGTTTGGTTTGAAAATCTCGAACATATTGTGCAATGTAGGCCTTTGAAAAACCTTGAAAAATTTGAAAATTTTGTAGCAGGGTTTTTGCGCATGCAGATTTCGCCAAAGGTTTTTTTGCGTAATTACTATTTTGGGAAGCGCTGATTATATAGTTGTAACGATATACCTGACATGACATAAACGAAGCAAAACGGCAAAGAGCAAATTCCGCATCTACAATCAGTAAGTGCTTATCATGTTTGTTTCCCTCCCCGAAAGAAAACACGGCCGTCAATCAATTTTCTTCAACTTACCGTAGTCCTACAGGAAGGGAGACCGGTGATTTGCTCTATACTGTAAATCTAAGTTAAAGCCAGCTCTTCAAAATGCTACCCAAACGTCAACGATAGAAGAAGCAGTGTTTATGAAGTTATTTTTTGTTCATCAAACAGTCGGCACATTTTCTTGGGACCCTCTGTATTTAAACCTAATTTCAGCCCCTCTAAACTTGTTTTTTTTTTGTACTTCTGAGCAAAGGATGTTTTCTAGAGATGATTGGTTTAGGAAATTATCATGCAGCTTGTTTGAGGGTATAATAATTTATACTCTTTCAAAAATGCGACAAAACTGAGTGAAAAAATCGAGATAGAAAGATCAAAGTACATGGCATACTTTAAACAGTACCGCAACACTGTAGCTATCTATACTTTGAGCAGACACAAAAAATTGAGAGCAACAGAAACTAGTTCAATTATATGTATACAAAGCAAGTAATGCAATGGCACTATTTCCCATATCTACTTCGAGCAAACATAATAAAAAGCACAGAGTGAAAACTCAGTTACATTCACACCATTTACTCTGACCACAGTCTCGCTCTCGTCATGCCTTACATTTGAAAGAGGGGTTTCACGAAAATTGCGTGAAGTTGCCGAAAACTACATTAAATAATTATTATAATATAAAAAATAGGTGCACGCTCTGAGCCACAACGAATGTCCATGTCGATCAAGGATATTTGAAACAAGTGGGCGAACATTGAACGCTTAGGGTAACGGGCGGTTAATTGAATTATAAGTGCAAAACAATGCCAATGTGTAGGAATCTCGCAAGAAGTTACTCAGCTCCGCCTCTTTCTTAGACTTTTGATTCAAGGTTGAACTTTCTTCTAAAGCCTCTTCTGCTTTGGCGCAACAACAATTAAATGTTACCATAAATGCACATTGGCGGAAAAAGAGATATATGGAAAAGAGTTATTTATGCGAAGAGACAACAAAATCATTCCATTGTAGGCGATAGAAATTTGCGCTACTTCAAAGAAGCTAGATCTCTATAAGCCCACGGTTCATACCGTAGTAAAAAACTATCGAAAGTTCTTGAACCATAGAAAATGATGTTTGGCGAATAGTTGGGCAGCAAAAGGCAAAATTTGCACAGCCAAACTTTTCGAAAAAAAAGTTCACCATAGAAAAGAACAAAAAGTTCACTCTAGTCAAACTACTTCGGTAAATAAATTGTTCTTTACACCAACCAAAACAACTCCCAAGGAAAGCATGTTTAGTCGAAGTGGCCTTTTTAGAGGAATGTACAGCATATATAGGGCATAAAATGCTGATTCCAAATCTGCCTTCCTTATCTGGGGAGTGTTTATGGACGAGGAATTATGGGCGCTTATTGGGGCAAAAAATTGAATGTGCAAGTAGCACGTAATACTTTTTGTAGCTCTTCAATGCAGCGGTGATAATCATCAGAGCACTTTATCTAAAAAAATACTTCAAAAAATAGATCACACTTGGTTGCAATATTTGAGAGCTACGAAGATTTTAACAACTCAATTTATACAAAATGCACATTCAATTTTTGGCTCCAAAAAGCGCTCATAACTCCTCGTACATAAACGTTCTGCAGATAAGGAAACTAGGCTTAGAATCAGCATTTTATGCCCTTTGATATGGTGTACATCTAATTTAGAAAGGCCACTCCGACTGAACAAGCTTCCCGTTAGAAGTTTAAAGAGATAACTTCTCGTTCGGGCTGTGGAGCTCACTGGAAAGCTTACGGCTAAGTATTTGTATATTGATCGCACTCTAGTCACAGAATATACGAAATGAGGTTTTCCTATCCGGTTTGTGGAACGACATCAATGTTTTGCAAAAAAGTTTCTGCGCTGGCAAAATTGTTAAGCATCACAGCCTTCAATATTTCGAATTTAACGAAACGAAAAGAGCGATTAAACATGTCTAATCCAGCGAAATTCCACAGAGAAATCAAGAGATCAAATCTAATTTAGGGGAGAGTAAAAGCTATGGAAGGATTTGAAATGAAGGTTTGTGGCTCAAGTTGATTGTCAGTTCAAAAGAGTAAATGTGGTGAGATATTTACAGTTCAAATATGAACGATACTGCTAACGTTTGAGCAGTTCAATGCCAAGGATGCCGTTGAATAGTAATTGAAGGAATTTGAAAGGCATTTAGTTCTAACAAAAAATACAATAACTCAATTTTCTATTGCAATTACATATGCAGCATGAAAATTATTATTCATAGTTTGGTTAAGTGATTGCCATTTTCGCTTTATATGCATTAATGAGGGAGGAGCCTAAAATAGAAAGAGGGGAGAGATCGGCAAGCAAAAACCATGGATTAAAAGCGGACGCTTTTTAAAGAATGTGGTCAGAAACATTTCAGAGGATAGGAGCTGTGAAGCACATTGAAAAGCTTACGGCGGAGGATTCGTACATGAAATCTGCTCTCTAGTCATAGGATATAATATACAGGGTGTCCCAGAAGTAAGTACACAACTTTCAATCGTTAATATCTCTCTTCCCATTATGTCTTTTTTCGCCATTCAGGTACCATTCTGTAGAGGAGGCTTCAACTTAGATTTACGGTATTGAGCGACTCACCGACCGATCTTCATTACTGTAGGATTACGGTAGGAACTTCGACAAAGATTTTAGGCCATTAGAAGCAATATTCTGCCTCGGACCAAAACCAAACAAGCCAAAAACTCTTATACTAAGGTAATGAAAGCTGCTGATTTCAAATATGAAATTTACACTTTACTATGATGCTTCTTTCCAAAGTTATTCCAGGTAAATTGTGATATCCAAATTCTCAATATTTGTCAGAAATGTGATTACACCGTCAAAAAAGCTGAAAGCACTCATAAAAAGTTGTATAGTGGAATCAGCGTGCGCGAAAACCTTAGTACACTATTTTGCAGATTTTTTGGAAAAAATTTTGTCTGGCATATTTCACAATATTTCTACTTGCTGGAAGTTCGTACCGTAATCCTACAGTGATAAAGAGCGGTCGGTGATTCGCTCAATACTGTAAATCTAGGTTGAAGCCTCCTCTACAGAATGGTACTTAAATGGGAAAAAAGACCCATTGGGAAGAGAGATATTGACGATTGAAATGTGTACTTACTTTTGGGACACCCTGTATAAAATGAGGTCTCTCATATCCGGTTCTGGAAAGACGCCAACGTTCTATAAAAAAGTTTCTGCGCTGGGTCAAAGTCGTTGAGAAGAGACAACATTCTACTTTCAATAAAGAGGAACGAGAGTTGTCCGAAAAATTAACAATTTTTAAGTTTCATTTCGATGAAAAGAAGAAGAGAAAAAGGTTTGAGAAAGGGTTTTTTGGTTCAAATTAATTCAGATCAGCCGAATAAATGTGGTGAGAAGTCCTATAGCAAAGCTGAAATCTAAGCAGTGTTCAATTTTCAAACATTTCAGTGCCAAGAATGCCTTTGATTAGTAATTGAAGGAACGCATGCTGTGAGACATTCTTAACAAAAACTATGGCTCAATTTGCTACTCAAATTATATATGCAGCATAACAGTTATCATTCATAACGTGGCTAAGCGATTGGCTTTTTCATCTTATTTGCATTAATATTGAGGGAGGAGCCTAAAATAGAAAGAGGGGAAAGATAGGTTAGCAAAAAGTATCGGTTAACGCTTGCAGATAGGTGTCTCAGAGAGTGCAGTCGGAAGATTCCAAAGATATGAGAAAATCGGCATTAAGATGAAAGCTAAATCTTAGAATTCAATAGTTACGTATTCTAAAAAAGCTAATATGATCCACAATGCCGCCCCCCCCCCCCCCTTTTTCGAGATATGTCTGCCAAACAAAGACAGTTGGAATCGAAGATCAAAAACGATTGAACTACCTCGACGCCGGTTCGTCGTCCGGACCTGTTAGCGGATAAAACCATTTTGAGTAAATAAGAAGGTACAGAGCGCACAATGCCAAGATATACAGTATGACTGTAGATCGACCTATTCGATACTTGTGCTGCATCCCTTAGCTGGAAAAGAATCGGCTTAATAAGCGATACACTATTAACAAAAAATTCAATTCTCAAAAGGTGTTGCAAGGCTTGCGGGAAAACTCGCTACCATTCTTACAAACTATGTGTGAAATCCTTGTTTATGGATTGTTCTAAGATATTATTCTGTTTGATTATGATCGGCGTAAATTATTCTTCCTGACACTTCCTCTTTGGGTTTTATTCTTGTTTTTGGTTTTTTTCTTTCATGAGACAGAGAAGATTACGTTTTGATGAAGTTGAGCTCGCATAGTAAATGCTGTTTGTATGAAAGAGACAATATTTGTGACGTTTCGTTTTTTTAGGGTTTCTTACGTTCAAGGTTTAGAGTCAAAGAGGACTTCGTACGAAATTTTTAAGATCAAAGGGTTTTATTTTGAACCCTGGTGCCAGCTCGCGGCCAGCCTTGCTTGGAAAAAAAATTAACGACATATCAACATAAATTAAGTACACACTGCTACTTTCTAGAAATTAGGATTCGCACTTTTCCTATGTCCCCCCCCCCCTCCACGCCTTTTTTTTTCTTTCTCTCCCCCACCTCCTGCCCTCACTTCATTGCGGAAACTTCGACAAATGCTCAAGGTCACGAACGCGCACGGTGAATATAATTTTATCAAAATTTGCTGTATTATTTTTGCTAATACGATATAACTTTACCTAATCATGAATTTATTTGGTTAGAGATGGAATAGTGAAGTTAGAATAATAACATTACAATTCTGTCCCTTTTGATTTGCACATCACTGCCCAAAAATCGCTACGTGGATAGATAGTCGATAAATCATCCACGAACGTTACATCGTCATTACCAGTGAATCATATTGCCACAAAACGTATACATAAAGTTTTTTTTGGGAATCAACTATCGAATCTGTTCCTGTACGATCAAGCCCTGTAAAACGTGATTACATAAAAATTTCTACTAAAATGAGGAAAGCTTACTTATGGAAGAGAATGGAGTGATAGGAAGGAAATGAGGACTTAGAAATCGATGGAGAAAACTAGTCGAAGGACCTAATAGCGGCGTTCAATCAATAGCACTGTGGACATGTTGTATAGAAAAAGCATTTACAAACGGAAAACTTGAAGTGAATAGATCAGAGGATCAAAGGAATCACTTCAGAAATTCTCAAATATCAAAAAATTATGATATATCTATGAATTATGAAACCACAGAAAAGTGCTGAAATTAGCGCGATTGAAAAACTTTCTGGTAGAAATTTGGAAAGCTATATCATGTCTTACCTATCGTCCTGACAGTTAATGTACGAAACAATACAAATGGGGAAGCTCCATCTGCTGATTCTGAAAATCTTGAAATTCCAACAACGCATATCCTGACGAATTTCCATAATAGCATATTTTTCATCTTTTATATTGCGAAATCAAAATAATCTTTACTTAGAATAAAAAAAGTAGCACAGAAGGTACTTTTATTTCTAATGCAAATCGTAGGTGTAAAGGCATATTCTTTATTGGAAGAGTCCAAGATCACCCTATGGCTCAGCTAGCATTATTTGTTTCTAAACAATTGCTATAGGTGTCCCAAAAGTATGTATACACTAAATAGCATGTACGACTCTCGATAAATCTCGGCATAGTTTTTAAGATGAGATTGATGTCTTGTAGCCAAGAGAAGAAGAAGAAAGAAGAGAGAAGAGAAGAGAAGAGAAAGAAGAGAAGCCTTCAAGCCTTTAAAGAAGCCGAAACGTTGGCCATTAAAGTTTGTAACAATCTCGGCGTTGGCTACAAGACATCAGTCTCAACTTATGTATACACTGTTTGATCAATAATATCTCTCTTCCCAAGAAGTCTTTTGCCTGACTTTAGGTACCATTTTGTAGAGAGGCTTCAACTTAGATTCACAGTATGGAGCGAATCAACTATCTTGGTTCATACTGTAGGATTACGGTAAGAGCTTCAATAAGGGTTTTGAGCCATTGAGGTTTTTTTTTCGCCCTAGAAAGCAAACCAGAAGTCTGTAAACTTTTGTACTAGGCTAACTGAAGTCGCCAAAATCAAATATGAATTTTGCATTTGACCGTGATGACTTAACTTTCATGACTTAGCCCGGTAAACCATAATAGCTGTTTTCACTGTGCTCCCTAAAATTGCAATCACAGTCTTTGAAAAGGTTTACAAACTCTTAGAAAGCTGAGTAATGAAATCAACACTCGTAAAAACGGTACACCTCTTTCCAGAATTTTTGGAAACTTTTTTCGGAACACGACTAGTCCATGACGACGCTGTAAGCCAGAACTTCCTACCATAATCCTACAGTATCGAAGAGCGATCGTTGGTTCGCTGCATACGTAAATCTAAGATAAAGCCAGCTCTACAAACTGGTACCTTAAGGTAGGTAAAAGACTCCTTGGGAAGAGACATATTAACAATCAAACAGTGTATACATACTTTTGAGACACCCTGTATATAAAAGTTACTCAGAATGCAAAAGTGGCTTTGAATGGTTGGAAAAATAGAAAAAATCTTCAAAAATTTTGTTAGAGTGCTCAATAAGATTTTTGAAAAAAGCTGCTAATAATTCTTGCAGCCGTTGCCATCTTCTGATAAGTTAGTAACAGTCCATTGATAAGAAAGCTTACGCTTAGCAAAAATCGACAGAAAAAAAGGCAGAGAGCATATTTGCTTTCCTTTCTTAAAGACCATCATTAGGTTAATAAAGTTTTTGACCTGCATCAAACGCTCTTTAACCTTGTGAGTTTCGTATGTAACTGTCAGATTCGAGTTCAAACAATTGTTAAAAATCATGCACTATGTCGAAGAAATTTTATGTCATTGTGTTGTATACTTTGGACCGAATCGAATGATTATTCGATTATTCGAATAAATCATTCGAATGCGAATGATTCGAAAATTCGAATATTCGAAAATCTGAGATTTCGAATAATATTCGACAGTCGAATATTCGAAAATTTTCATTTTCGAATATTATTCGAAAGTCGAATATTCGAAATTCTCAACTTTCGAATATTATTCGATATTCGAATATTCGATGGTCATTAATTCGATCATTCGATGTCCATGGAATATTCGAATATTCGATGAGCACCGAATATTAGGAAATTCGATATCCACAACATATACGGGGTGTCCCAAGGGTATGTACAAATTGTTTAATCGCTAATACCTCTCACAAGTCTTTTGCCAACCTCTAAGTAACATCCTGTAGGGGTGGCTTCGGCTTACAAATACAGCATAAAGCAAATCGCCTGTGTTTTTCTTGTTGTGTTATTACGGTATGAACTTAGCATATAGAGCAACTGCGAAATGAGACATCCAAAAGAGTTCTCCCAACAAAAAAGAGGTTTCAGATCTATTTAGCAGGATTTTACGTATGTTCAACTACGCACGGGCTTTCAAGCCTTTCAAATGTGCATTCTCTTTTTTGAAAAGCGTTGGAAAACATCTGTTATGGTGTACCTGGCATAAGTTGCAAAAAGCGTTGTTGAGTGCAAATTCTTTATATAGTAAGTGTCTTTAGAAGCCTAGTGTAAGATCGGCCTTTTTGTTTCTCATTCTTGGGCAAACGGCTCTTGATATCTCAAAACCCTCCTCAGTATTCCTACGGTAATTTACAACAGTGAAAAGCGATCGATACATCGCTTCATACTGTGAGTCTAGGTTGATGTCAGCCCACAGATTCACACACTGTTGGTATGTCAGTCCACAACTCTCAATGAGGATAAATAATCTTCTTTGATTTTTGAAATTCCTTTGCAACCGCCACGCACGCTTTTAGGTTCTCAAAGGCAGCGTCCCAAAAGATGAGTCCGGGAAATTGTGGCGATGTTAAATTGGACCCCCTGCCTAAGCGGTGATGAATTTCAGAGCGAAAAAGAGGGTCTGGTAAGCTTGAAATTTGCTCCCAAAGTGGCCCGTCTTACGGCAGGCCCGAATGCCGCCCGTATAGCGAATTCGAACTGCAAGGCCAGAGAACGCATAGCGCACACAGTTATGAGTGCAGGGTCCCGCAACGACTCTGCGTTTCCACCCCGCATGCATCTCGTACTCACGAGCCTACCGTAAGATCCGGACCACTTACGGCGCAAATTTTAGGCCTGGGTAGCTCCCTTTTTCGCAACATCAGTCACCGCTTAGGTGGGGGGACTACTTCAACATCGCCACAATCCGGCACCCATCTTCTTGCCGGGGCTGCAACTGAACCGTTTTTTTCGTTGTAAACTGAAACATAAAAAAATGTCTATACCTGAAAAAAATTTATTCTGAGATGTTTTGGTCTCTCACAGGTAGTCTTACTGATATAATTTATTCGCATAGTATTCGAAAATCGAATGATATTCGAAAATCGAATACTATTCGAGAACCGAATAATATTCGAAATTCGAATATCGAATGGTATTCGATATTCGAATATTATTCGATTCGAAAACATCCATTTTCGAATAATATTCGATAGTCGAATATTCGAAAATTTCGATTTTCGAATAAAATTCGATAGTCGAATATTCGAAGCTTTCAATTTTCGAATAATATTCGATAGTTGAATATTCGAGAATTTTGATTTTCGAATATTATTCGATATTCGAATATTCGAAAAAAATTTCGAATTTCCCAAAGTATATTGTGTTGTTCCAAAAGTTCTACTCTTTTTCAAAAAGAATAAAAATAATTTTTAGAAACAATAGTATTTATCAGATAGAAAGAAGTGAGAAAAGGTTACTTTCTTTTTGGAATTATAACAGAAGAGGTGTGAAAAACGGTAAAATTTTGAAACAAAGCGATATCTTGCAAATTTGGTAAGATGATAAACTTACTTTTCAAGAATTGCGGCTAAACTCCAAAGTACATGCAAAGAAGCTGCGATCATCACGGTAACTGTTATTCAGTTTGGATGGCAGAGGTTGCTCCTCTCCACTTATATATACACTCGAAAATCTATGCCTAGTGACGCCGATTATCCATGTGACAATTGATGCGCAACGTTTTTGATGGGAAATTTTTATTCTATGTGATTTTTATGTAATTAGAGAATATTATGCTGAGGGCAATCTAACGAATAATGCGCACAATTCTCTCGTGAGCACCATTCGAGCCCTACAAATTGTTGGGATGAGCTGACTTACAAGGGGAAGATCATTGATCGATATGGCCGTTCAAGATGAGTTGCATATATTCTTGAAGAGCACTAAACGCTGATTCCAAATCTGCCTTTCTTATCTGCGGAGCGCTTCTGAATAGTGAGATATGAGCCACTCATGTGCCAAAAAACTGAACGCCCGACGAAGAAAAAATTGGCTGTAACAGCCTGTACAACTCGCAGATGGATTAGTTTTGAGTATGGGTATAACAGATAAAAATTAATCTCTGTATAGAAGTGGTCTAACAGACATCGTTGCTCCAATCTTAGGAAAATACCCTGAATGATTTCCTTCCTCCCAATTTCCGCCCCAGAAACTTTCACAACTCCTTGCCCAAAGGCGCTTCATAATGAGGAAGATTTAAAATCAGCGTTCGATGCCCTCCAAGACTGTATGAATCTCGTTTGAAAAGGCCACTTTGACAGGGATCCTTCCTTGGTAGACCAAAAGACCGCGCATTCCATCTTGCAATTGATGGAAGGATGCCTAGAAATAACAGCATTTTGTTTATTCGTATATATCTTTGTGACAACGTCTCTCACAGTTACCAAGATACTGAAGTTCTATCGTGTTGACTAGATTTTTATAATAAATCTTCCCAATTTGTTCAAGCCACCAATTGCTCAAACAACGCGGCTGAGCGGCTTGCTTGAAAAATCGAGAAAGTACGTCTTGCATTCGTGAAATTAGGTTATATGAAAGTGCCTAGCACACTGGTTAACCTACAGCAGGTAAAAACCTACAAAATCTGATCGACTAGCATATACGATGAATCTCGTCGAGCTGAGTCGAACGATGCTCTCGGATTTGGAATTTATCCACTCTGAATTAGGCTATGACAGCGCGGTGCCGATTTTGGTGATTACCGGCTGAGTGCGGCGATATCTTTTGACTAA